GGGCTGATATTGTTCATATGTTTTAAGTCAATATATTTTTGATATAAGACTGAATTCTGTTGCCAATATAGGCTACTGCTATTTTGTCATTATTAAGAGAACGTAGTTCTTTAACATTGGCAATATCAACAAAACATAGTTTAAACCTAAATAGAAAATCAATTAAAATCCAATAAACTACCATCATTTGCCATATTGCTCCCAAATTGGAACAAAAATAATAAATTATATTGGATTCTTATAGAAAAAAATAGGCGTTGCCGATATTAACATTAGAAAAATATATTGAACTCTTATTAATCCTATGTTTAGATTCAATATTTTTTTAATATAATATTAAATTCTTTAGCCTACTTTAATATTTACATTATAGACAGAAAATAGCTCTCCAACATTGGCACTATCTACTAAACAAAGATTAAACCTACACAGAAAATCCAATCAACTACCAATATATGCTATATTGCATCCACATTGGTACAAAAGTGATACTGTATATTGGATTAATATTGGAAAAATAGGCATTGCCACTATGAACTTTAGAAAAATATGTTGGGCTGATATTAATCATATGTTTTGAATAAATATTTTTTTGATATAAAATTGAATTCTATTACCAATATGGGCAATTGTTATTATTTCATCATTTAGATAACATAATTCTTCAAGATTGGCCCGATCTACAAAACAAATATTAAACCTAAATAGAAAATCAATAAAAATCCAATAAACTGCCATTATTTGCTATATCTCACCCACATTGGAACAAAAACACTAAATTATATTGGATAAATATTGTGAAAATAGGTGTAAACGTTAGAATCATATGTTGGGCTAATATAAGAGCAATATTATAAAGCAATATCTTTCAGTCCATAAAATAAAGTTCTTCTGCCAATATTAGCTGCAGGTCATTAATATTGGTCCCAGTTTCAAATATGGGACCAACATTTTGCCAAGCCGCAGACACGATTCATTGCTACCTGGGTAGTTAAGTTGTTCAACCGTTGTCTGTATAAAAACACGTCTCACTCATACACGCGAGGTTGATAAACCGCAGAACAATGATTTAACTAAACAGATATAACCAAATCCAAGTAAAGAAAATTTTTCATATCCTGGACTCGTCAAGTCAGATTAAGTCTGCCGCCTTAGAATGCCAATATTGTATTAATCTTCGTGAACTTTGAGCTGTCAACAGAAATTCCGACTGTTTCCTGTCTATTTATCTTTCCTCTCTTGTTCATTTTGTTAGCTCCCTCCCTTTTCTGTGTACATTGTTCAAATGTTATTTATAAACTACAGTCTTCAAAAAGTTCTAACCCAATAAGAAATAAATAAACGTTTACAAAAATGAGGTTAATATTTAAAAAAGAAAACACCGGCCGGCTCGATTTTAAAAATGACTTTCTACCCTCAAAGTAAAATCCCTTGAAATGTTCAACCCCTTGGGGACGTCTTTGGGTGGCTGGAAGGTTTTTCTCCATTCCAACCAACTGAAAGGAAACTTTTTCTATGAGATACGCTTGAAAAATCAGCTGAATTATCTATTACGAGCACGGACTGCAGACACTATAGACCGGGGAGTTTTTTAATCTAAATCAGTTTTATTGAAAATGAAAACTTTTCCTATGGTTGAAATTTAGTTATCTAGAATTAAAAAATGTTCGGAGTTTAATTCGGTATTATTAAATTAATTGCGAAGTAGGTGCACTTTTGATTGAATTAATACAAATTTATCTCCTTTTTATTATTTACAGTTAAAATTATTTTAAAATTTATTTATTTATTTAAACGTGAAGAACAGTTTATTGAATTAGTACTTTATGGTAATTTATTTCGCCCGATGAGTTATTATTAATTAATATTACTCTCTAATTTCAAGGCTACTTAATATGTTTCATAAATGTTATTCGTAAGTAAGGTAAAAATACGCTAGGATGTGTTAATTCTTATTTTAAACAAGGCATGTTAAGACATTAAAAAATCATAAATCCCTTTCAATCTCCTTTACGTGAAAAATTACTTGCAGGTATTTTCTTTTTTGTAGCAAGATGGTTCGTATGGTACATTTGGAAAGGCTTAAGTGTGATATACGGGGTGGCCATTTGAAAACGAAACAGATCCAATTTTGGACACCCCAGGTAATTTACGAAAAAGCGCTCGGACAGGTCAATTTTTGATTTTAAGGGGGTAACAGTATTTTGTCAGTTTTACCTCCTGAGCGGAAACGCTCTAGCGGGGAAAAGACTCACCCCTAAAATCTTTAATGGAAAGAAGCGTTAAGTGATATCTTATTTTAAAGGTACTTTTACCTAGATTATAACCCTCGAGTTTTACATCGCTACTATCTACGTAGCCCATATAGTGGCTCATCAAAAGTACATAATTTTTATATTGTTATTAAAAAAATTATTTTTTTTGTAATCATTCTGATTTAATTCCTACGGCATTCAATTATTGTATCAGATGCCAGACAATCTTTGGTCGCTGTAAAGTAGTAAGGTTTAGTTCATTACTGAGAGGGTGCAAATAATTTCACTGGTTTGTAAAAAATGAATGTGCTAATCGAACTGTCCAACTGTGTAACAATCCATCGAAAGTGTATTTTTGAAATTAGTCGGGAAACGGGGTCAGGGGATAACAAAGAACATGAAATGGAAAATGCTGTAGTAAATGAAGCTACAGAGATGGCGATTTTAGGGCATGTTGTTCAAGAACTCACATTGAGTACAAGACAGTTGTCGTTAACATTTAGTATTACGGAAAGTAGCATTCAGAAGATATTGAAAACAATATATTCTTACAAAATACATCTGATCTTGTACAGGAACTTAACGAAGGCAATTTTGATAGGCGATTACAATTTTGTACAATTATCACTGAACTGGTTATAAATGATCAGCACTTTCTTTTCAACGTGTGTTTTTGTGACAAAGGCACTTTTTTTCCTAAATGGTACAGTAAATCGTCACAACTGTCGTTATTTGTCCGATATAAATCCCAGAATATTTCATTAAATCCATACGCAACATCCAGAAAAACTGAATATTTAGCCCCTCTTTTTTTACCTGGAACTTTAACCGCAGAAATGTATCTGGAATTATTAGAAAACGCAATTTATTCAGCATGACTAGAGTTGATTGAGAATGACGATCAGTACATAGCAAACAACTTAAGACAGTACGCTACCCCAATTTTGCACTGACTGTTCGTCAGCAGTAGTGGCCGTGGATAAGTGCTGCAGAGCTCCCAAAAAAAAAATTCTAAATACATAATCTAACTCAAATATTTCCTATTAGGGACCAAAAAGAAAATATATAATAATATATTCGCATTGTAATAATCTTTAAAAATTACTGCTGGCGAAGCACTGGCATCGCTGGAAGTAGTGTACGTAAAGTCGACCAGTGGAATAACCCACCTACCTACCGATACACACGCTTGCAGAGACTGTCGCTGAACTATTATTTATCTGGGCCACATGATGAAGGTCTGTGCGCTCTTTTAAACATCCGCGCGGCACTTCGCTACTCCCAATCCCACGGTTAAAGCAAACCTATACCCATTTTGAACATTTAGGTTTAAAGATAAAAAAACACGAAAACTCTAAAATCCATCTTCACAGTTGCATGGAATTTGCGTTACTACGGACAACTAATATTATAGTTCAATTAGATTCTGCTTATTCGTTAAATATACAGAGACATTATGAAAATGTGTTAAAGAATAGGTACATTTTATTTAAAATTATTAATTGCATTAAGTTTTGTGGAGCTTTTGAACTGACTCTTCAAGGACATGATGAGAGCGATTCTTCTGAGAATATTTGGGTAAAACATTCTTCAGTATTTAAAGGCACCTCTAAAGAAATACAGAACGATCTGTTACAGTGTATGCATGATGTCTGGCGGACGAAACAACGGATGTTGCTGCATAAACTCAACTGATAGTTATATTTAGATATTGTGACGAGTGTCTAATTTATTTATAGTTTACTAATTTAAAACTCACTATTTACAATTTATTTATGACGTATTAATTTATATAATACTTAGACACAAACTCACAATTCTAATTTATTTATTACAATTTATATGTTCAGTCCAATACTCTATAGTAAACTAAACTGTGCGCCGATAAGTTGGGCTATTTATACCAAGTCTAATTCTGCTACGAAAAATCTCTAGATGCTCCCGAAAATTCCATCTCTGATTCAACGGCACGCATCGCCCGTTCTTATATATTCGAAATGCAGTCCGACTGTCTTCATACGTCAGCGTTGCTTTGATCATGAATCGAGTGGCAGACTTTTAAGGTCGCGCTTACACAGGGTTGGCGCTGCGTCACAATATGTTAGCAATGGTGAGCCAATTAAACGTTTTTGGAACTACTTATTTCCTGAAAAATGTGATGCAGAAACACTAACACCCGTATGCATAGTCGATCGCCAGCGATTCGCCAGAGATTCATTTCGGCGTATCACCAGCGATTCGCTGGCGATCCGCTGGCGAAAGCCCGAAAAGGTGGCGACTCACTGGAGATTGTCACCGGCATGTCATCTCTCGCAAGTTTTCATGTTCTTTTATAGGGATTATCATCGGAATCTCTGGCATTTTATTCATGATTCATTTCTTAAAACTCAAAAAACGATTATCAAATTTTTCCCTATAAAAGAACAAAAACTTGCGTGAAATGACATGCCGGTGACAATCTCTAGTGAGTCATCACCTTTTTGCGCTTTTGCCGATACGCCGAAATAAATCTCTGGCGAATTTCTGGTGAGTCGCTGGCGATCGACTATGCATACGGCTGTTAGTATAACAATTTTAACTGTTATAGATCCTTTAATTCAAAATTCACCGAACAAACTGATTGCACAAAGTTACGATGGAGCCGCGGTGATAAGCAGACAATATGCAGGAGTTCAAGCATTAATTAAAAATAAATCCTTTTGCTCACTATGTACATTACACTATGCCCATCAGTTAAATTTAAATATGTGTAAAGCTGCTTCTGCAAATCCACAAGTAGGTGTATTTTTTGGAAATTTACAAGACATTCCGGGCTTTATTAATAATTCACCCTAGCGAGTAGAAGACTTAAACAAGATTGTGAAGAGAAGGATCCATCACGGCGCTGCTACTCGTTTAAATTTTAATATAAGGACCATTAATGCAGTATACGAAAATAGAGCATCTCTCGTTGAGTATATGCATGAAATAGAAGAACAATTCACCAACAAAGCAGTCTGTAGTGCAGCCGCCTCTATTCGCCGTACATTAAATGATCCGATCTTTAATTTTTGGCTGACTTTTTTTTATCATGTGATGCCCCACGTAGACATCCTCTTCCATCAACTACAGCAAAGAGAAATTGAACCCACTCTAGTAAAAGACGCTATCGATAATTTTGAACGCAGTATCACTCAAGTTCGAAATAATATTGATAGCATCACTACTAAAGCATTAGATATAATAAGAGACCAGCCACCAGGAAATAAACGCAAGCGCTCAAGTAACAGCAGATTTCTGCTATAGAGGTGTGTGATATTACCCCAAATTCTGCAAAAGATCGATTTGATTTTAAAGAGCATCTAGTAGTTGCCTTACTTTGTTTTTCGGAATTCTTTGCAGTATATTGTGGTAAATTTCCCGAGGATAACTTCCGCATGCTTTTTTTATCCCACACTTGCGAACAATTGCGAACTAAACTGTCTGTTATTTATTTAAGAAATGATAGCAGGACATTGAAAGGCGCACTATCTCTACTAAAATTTTTAATATCAAAAAATCTAGCAGATACGTTAAAGGAGACTAGAAAATTATTAGAAATTATGGTAACAATTCCTATGACAATATCAGAGGCCGAACGATGTTCCTTAACACTAAATCAAATCAAAACGTTTCTAAGAAATTCAATGACCGAAGATCGTTTAACAGCTCTTTCCATGTTATCTATTAAAAAAAAGTTTACCTCGGAAATAGACAATTTTATTGAAAAAGTTATTACAAAATTTTCGAACCAAAAAGAACGTAGGATTGACCTAATTTATAAAAAATATACTAAAATCACACTATCTGATTAAATTCCTCAGGTCATTTTCTTAAATATTTTTTATTTTCCTTGAATAAAATAAAGTACAGTAAAATAGTGCTTGGTGTTTCTTTTTTTTTTGTATGGTAATTGTTCCAGCAATCCATCATTCAGCAAACACAATAAAATCAATGGGACTTTGACTAAGAGGACAACCCCTCTGAAAGGTAAGCTTTTTTTGCAAAAATTGCAGATCCTAAAATTTTTACCACGATCCGCCACTAATCGTCAGTATTTGGATCAAACGTTTTCAGGTCAATGGATCGAAAGAAGAGGAAGAAGTGTTGAGTAGCTTCCACAGTCTCCAGATCTAACTTCATTTGATTTTTATGGGGCCATTTAAAAACTAAAATTTATGCTACCCAGCTTACATCACTGGAAAATCTGTGACAACGGTTAATTGACGAATGTCTTCAAATCACCCCACAGATGCTTCAAATTGTCCGAAAGCGTTTTAACCAAAAACTTTACCAGTCTACTATTGCATGAAGTCCCAGAGTCAGCATTATCAGCATTTACTCGAGTGACTGGTAAGCATTTAAAGGAAATAAAATTCGTTGAAAGATCATGTCTGAGAAGACAGTAGCGATTTAAAACTCAGGAGTTATAATCTAGGTAAAAATAACTTCAAAATAAGATATCATTTGACCGCTCTTTCCATTTAAGATTTTAGGGGTGAGTCTCACCCTCGGCAGAGGGTTTCCGTTCAGGAGGTAAAAGTGGCAAAAAATGTTTGTGTATATGTGTTTATATAAACTATAACAAGAAGACGCAAATATTGAATAGGTAATCGATCTGTACAAATTCTTCATTTCATGTTCCCGTAAGAATTTCACAATCTATTGAGAATCCACATCGGATGCATCTGAGATGTTGTGAATTTTTTATCACATGATAGAGGATTAGATCTGAATGTAGATGTTATAAACAAACGCTCTAGACCACATACTTTGATTCTCTAGACTTTATTTGGTCATGTGATAAAATGTCAATGACAAGTTAGTATTAAATTTGACTTTTAAGACCACAAATCAACCTAAATTTAAAATATAAATAAACATTAAACAAACTAATCACTTTTATATTCATGCTAGCATAAACAAAGATAAATTGACAAACAAGGCTTCACAGAACACTTACTTTCTGGCATGGAACGAACATCTCATTCACATCGCATTTCAAATCGAGATGTAAAAAATGTAATCTGAACAGGTACATCTGGGATAATCAAACGCAGATGTAGATGTAGTAGATGTGTCCGATGTGGATAAAAAAACGCTCGAGATGTAAAAAATGCATCCGATGTGGATTCTCAAACGCGGCATATGAAAGGAAGGATAACGCTTTGATTAATAAACAGAATTGAACTGCAAGCAGAAAGCAACATTTCGAGAAAAACGTCGAAGATGAAGAAGTTTTGTTGGATGCTAAGGATTATTTCAAATTAAATGTTAGGAGTAAAGCGTTAATTGTTAAGTTTATTCACATAATATTTCAGACGATATAATTAAAGAGATCTAACACCTTAAAGGGTATTGGCACTAGTAGAGATCGGAATGTGATTGGTATTGTTGCGCAAGAGCCTACCCTGTGCTTTGTTTACTCCTTGCACGCTATATGAAGTCTGGCAATAGAGAGTTAAAGCAATGCCAGCAACGTATATGTAAACGCTCCGAGCAAATACTACTAGAGGGAGTCTTCCCCCTTCCCCGCGCTAAATTTTGTTAGCAACATCTACTCCCCCCGAGGGGGAAAATACCTCTTCTGTAATTGGCTTATTTAATCAGCGATGCCAAATTTGACATCGCCAGTTCTGACACTTTCTGACACATGTCAATTTCTTATTTGTATTTTACGGAAAATATTATTATTTATAACGTTGTAAGGGTTGTAAATGTATATTTAAGATTTATTATCATGGTGAAAACATGCTTTATGTGTAAAAGGCCTGTTGAAAATGCTTCTTCAAGATAATATCATAAGTAAGTACAGACACAACCTAATTATCAGAGGCGGTGCATTAGGCAATCACCTTTAATTTGCAATTAAACTTTCTTATTTTCTTATCGAAAAATTAAAATTAAGAGCAAGTAAACTTCAGCTAAGTTCGTCTTCATCCGTCTCATAATGATTATAGTAAAGGTTAATTACTTATTATTTTAATATCACATCTTTGTAAAGTTTATTGTTATTTTTTTTAGGTTTCCTTTTCTTGATATGAGAAAAAATATATGGTTCCAAAATATAGTAATTTAACAAGTGACCATGTGAATAACTTTTTATGCTAATGAACATTTTCATTACAGACCTCAGGGTAGGAAAATATTAAAGAAAAATGCGACGAAAGAAGTATAATAATCAATCTTGTCACTACTTCTACACTATATTCATCTACTATGTTACGTGCACATTTTACCTTGGGAATATTTTACCCTAAAAAGATAAAGATGTCTTCGAAAAAATAAATTTATTCGTAATAAGATAAATCACAATATTAATAATAGTTTTCAGTCATCTGTGTTTCGAAACCCTAAAAATAATAAATATAAATAACAATATCAATAAGATATTTAGGAACATAAAACTTACCAATAGATTTAATCACACTCTTATTTCTCGCTTTCATCGTCTGCATATATTTTACTAAGTGTAGTTTTAATTCTAAAAACAATACAAAATATAAATCGACATTAGATACCTCACGATGAGTAGAATGTTATTCCAACAAAATACTAAATTATAAATGTTTACCCTATTTAAATAATTTAGAGAAATTTATTTATTTAGTTAGGTAGTTTAGGGTAGATTTTCTTTAAAATCTTTATTATGATTTTATATATGACTTGTTTATTTCCATCATGTCAAAGTCATTTTGTTGTCAATTTTCTTCTTTTTCAAATACTTCTAATTAATTAAAATAATTACATTAAGGTACAACAATCAGGATAATTTAAATATCTTATCTGGACATGAACTGACCACTGACCACTTTTTATAAATCTTTTTTTATACTCTCATATCTGACCTTTTGAATAAAATGGCTTCTTGCTGAACCACCTGGGTTTAAGTTTTCGAATTTTCGGATTTATTTAGCCAGTATTTTCACCCCTCATCTTAATTCTTACAAGTAATATTTCATTTAAGTTGAATCATATATTGTGGATTTTATTGCTTGTAAAAGAAAGGCCCCTCACATCTGTGGTAAGTTCAACCTGTCCATGCTTTCCTAAAAAAATCAAGTATTAATAATGTTGTTTCCTTTTAGGCCTTTAAGTACTTATTTAAGTACTCATTTACGTACTTATTTACGTACTTATTTACGTTTTATGCGTTCATTTATTCATTGAATATTTATTTGAACAAGATTATTTAAATCAAGAGATATGACGGATAGATATTGAAGGTTCGGTGTCTACCACCGATTTATCTGCAGCACCTATATAATTCATTGGCACCTTCTGGAGACATCACCAACCATTATCGAGTCCTGAGTTATCAGTCGATAGTAAGACTTCAAATCCCTCAGCCCTCAAGTAAGGACTACCTTTCTTATTTTAATATACCTGAACGTAGCAGCTCTCATTACCATCTGTACACTAGAGTAAAGTACAATATATATAGTTGATAAGATTTAAGATAATAATTAAAACTCACCTTTTTCTGTGCACCTTATAGTACTACAAGGGGGAACGTAAATCACCTTTATATTATTAACAGTATAGAGAACATAATAAACATTTGTAGGGGATAATAACTCCATGGTAAATTTTGTGCATCAACTAAAAGATAAAAATATTAAATCAGATCCCAGGACAAAATAATTTCATTAACCACCCCACTCTCCGAATAATAAATTTAATAGAGTTAGCTTGGGAAAATAGTAATCTTTGCCACCCCTTACAGTCCTGGGGAGACTAGGAGCGTGGCAACTACTAAAATACTAAAACAGCAAGTAAGTAGAGAAACTTTTCTTTCAAAAAGAATGTTTAAGGAAAAAGGCATAGCCATTTTTTGTTAACACTTTTTTTTAACTAATCTAAAAGACTAATTTTGTGTATTGTTTAAATTTTCATTTTTTGTAATTAATTTGTCTTACGTTTATACAAAAAGAACTTCTAAGATATGCATGGAATATCCCAAAAGAGTTAAGGTAGGTTTTAAAATTCTTAAGAAAACTATTCAGATCCAAAAACATAAAATAGTCATCCTGTCCAAAATATAAATAGGTATAATTATTTAGATATTATGAGTGATTTTTTATTCTATAAATAGAACATAATTTGCTTCTAAATCACTACCTAATAAAAACTATATTATGTAGTACAAAACTAAACAAGAATATCACATTATTCATGTTTTTTTTTAATTTCCTTAAAAAACGTCCCAAAAAAGTGTGAATATTTATTATTGGAGTTTACATC